TTTCCATTTAACTGATTCTTTGATAGCCTCAGAAGCCAGAGTTACCTCTGTCCTGAGCCATCCTAAACACCATGGAATCATTGTTGCCTACACAGTCAACATTTGCACACCACACAACTGAATCATGAAAAATATCCATACAAATCATATAATAAATACAGGTATCATGGTACATGCCTATAATTTCAGTGCTCTGGAAGCTGAGGCAAGAAAATTGCAAGCTCAAGCCTAGCTTGGGCAATTGAGTAACTTAGGGAGTCCTTGTATCTAAACAAACACAAAAAAATTTAAGGGCTGGGATATAGCTCAGTGTGCAGGCCCAGAATTCAGTCATCAGTTATTTCCCTCCTACCAAAATAATAATAATAATAACCATAATAATCCACTGAAGTGAAATCTTACAATGTTGTGGAGTTGCATCACTAGCTATTTTTGGTGACATGTGGTCTACAAGCTGTAGGTTGGACATGCTTGAACAAGCTTTTAGAAAACTTCCATCTCAACAGTACACATGCTATATATATAGATAGATAGATACATTCTGACAAAGCTAATTTGTCCTGGAACTTGTTAAAGTTCTGGAATTTCTAAGTACTAGTAGAAAAATGGTATATCATAAAGAGTATTAACTGGAGTTTTTGTTGCAGTTCTGTTACTGCATATCTGTTTGTGCTAAAGAAAATTACTTCAATCTCTCTACACTTACGTTCTCACTGGGAAAATGGAGATAGAATCACTGATCAGATAAGGTTGTGAGGACTTGATAAGGTTACTTACATGCTGATATGGGGTAAGTGTTCAGTATTAGCTTTTCCTTTTCATCTGAATGTTTCTCTTTTTTTGCATTTTTCTCTTTGAAGATTTAAAAGAAGAATAATGGAAAGAACTAGAACTGCATATTCATTGAGGTTGAGCTTTTAAAATTCTCTTCTATTACAAGAAAAAAGAAAAGATCGATCATAGTGTTCCCACTTACCCACCTCCTTCTTCCTACTCATCATTTCCTCAGTAGAAAAGAATGTGCTTGGTGTGGTTGAGAAGCAATGAAGAAGCTGGTTCTTCTGGTCACTGATGTAGCGGACTGGCGTTAGTTATTGGATAGCTTTCTGAGGAATTTTGACTTTATCTTGTGTGTAGTCTACTGTACACAAATAAGAGCTGATAGTCAATAAAACTTGTCAGCTTGCCCTCCTCACCTGGTGCGCGGCTGGGCAGAATAAAGAATGTGAAGGTACAGAGAACTTTTGAAGTAGGCTGGAAAATGGAGCCGTGCATCCGGTCTCCATTGAAGTGGAAAAGGAAATAGAATTTCCTAGCTTGCCTTGTGTCTAAAAATGTGACCGAGACAGTGAGGTGAAAGGGAAATTGTGTCTTGAAAAGCATGGAGCATGTGTAATTTGGCTGAGTCTCCCTCCGTGGTCTGTATCGGGGTGGGATGCAGGATCAGAAGTGCCTGAGAAGATTTGTGATAGGCACTGTAGTAGAGCAGACGTAAGAGACTCTGGTGGCAGAAAGGCCACATAGAAGGGTCTGCCTCCTAGGTCCACAGCAGATGGGTAGGCAGATGATGCTAAAGAGACAGGAAGAGGAAGGATGAGTTGGTCCTGATGTGGTCACTAGATTACCAGAGCCTGTGCAGGACCAGATAGGGGAGAAGTAAATACTCATGGGTCATGAGGAGAAAGTGACAGAAGAATTTGGCAGAGGAAAAAACAAACAAACAATAAAAACTAGGATCATAATGTTTGTTTCCATGGCTGGAGTAGAGTTCACAAAAATGTCTGTGACCAAGTGAAGGGACTGTGAAGTCTGGACATCACATGGACCGATGTCCAGTGTAGATGTTGAACACAGTGAGAGAAGATGGGTGTAGAAGGGGAAAATGAGCCCTACAGAAAGATTTAAATGTGTGTGAGGAGCCATAAAAATAACGGCAATCAGGTTCTTCTCCCTTTGGTTTATCTTTCTTCCCAAATAAAGGGTTCGCTCACGCTAATGCTACAGTATGAGCTTTGCATGACTTTGAGCAAAATGGAAAGGTGGTATTATCCCAGGAAAGGTGACCTTTTTAAATTAGGATTTCCATAAATTGCTTTTTAAGGTGTGGTTTTTCGCGACCCAAAAGTGTTAAATCTAGGCTTTTAATTATTTTGTGCTCTCGATGGAACTTATTTCCTCAACAATAAAATACCAAGAGCCGGACACAGTGGCTCACACCTGTAATCCCAGCACTCAAGAGGCTGAGGCAGGAGGATCATTATGAGTTCGCAACCAGCCTGAGCTACAAAGTGAGTTCAAGGCCAGCCTAAATTGCATAGCAAGATCCTGTCTCAAAAGACATAAATAAAATAAAGTGAAACAAAGTGCCATGCAAATAGGAAAGTTATTAAAAGTCATTTGATGAGAAATATTACCTTCACTAATTGAAACTGAATCCATAGTTGGTTAACAATGCAGCAGCAATTTATTTTTCAGGGTTTTCATGTGCCTGGGTTTTTCTGACCTATATAAATCATGTAGAATATAAATGGTCATTTGTCTTTCTTAAAAAATGTGGAATGTTTTGGCAAATTATAGTTTAACTTTCTTGAACTATTTTGTCAGATATTTTATGAACATTGATTTTAACTTGTTTTCGTCCTTGAAATTTCATACCAAGCATATATAGAAAATTTTCCTAGATCAGATTGGAAGGAATTTTTATTAATATGCATTTCCAGTTTGTTGCTCTGGATATTTAAGTGATGTGGAGACCTCTGGTGGTTTAGTTTATTTTTCCACTTTACAGAAAAACTGAAAACATAGGATTCTAATTGGAAAGGACCTTAGAGATCATCTAAGGAGAGCTTATCATTTGCCAGGGGAAGGATCTGAGCCCTATAAAGGTTATATATCTTTTCTAGGATTACTCAGCAAAACCAAGGCCAACTACTCTTTCGGTAGCATGCCACTGCTTCCTTGGAGAATCAGTAAAATAAATGTATGTTGTTCTGTACATCCTAAATACATCCTGTTGAAAATACTTGTGTCCTAACTACCCTCTGTATCCTCACGCTACTGCAGGTCTCAGCATTTTTCAGAAGACCATTATGGTAGTCACTAGGTGTTTTGCTCTTAGCCTGTATCCCTTTGGGATGCTCACTCCCTGCTTCTCAAGTCATTATGCAAAAACTGTGACCTGAGTTTGTCCCTCCCTTGCTTAAACTTCATCTCTGCGTCACCAGTGCCATAGGTTTCTTAACATGATTAACAAAATTTCAAAAGTCCATTTGAAAAAAAATATATATATATACTTATAAATCTTCTTTTTCTTTCAAAACATTGCCCTGCCATTGATGGGTGTAGATGACCGTGGCTATATTGTTTAACCTCTTCAAGCCCCATTCTTCCCCTGTAAGATGGAAATAGTAGAACTTGCCTTGGGATTACTGTGAGACACAGGCAGCTAAAGACTGTAATATGAAGGTATCCAGCACATAGTCAGTATTTGATGGATGGTAGCTCTTTTTGTTTGCTTAGCTCTTTGCTTAATAAATTTCTACTGTACTGCATGGAGAGCTTCTGGAGAACAGGACTTCACTACTGTGTTTCAGAAACTAGTGTAGTGCCTAGCATAGAACAGGCACTTAAGCTTCATTTGCTGAGTGTAATTGAGCCATTATATATTAAGCAAGTAGTTTACTCATTGTAAACTCTAATTCTTTATGATAAAAACAGGAGCAATTGAAATAACGCATATAAAACACACTGTTTATAGTTACCCTGGCACCTTGGTTAACAAACTTAATTCTTTCCATGATTCTGGTTGCAAACCAAATTGATCATGAACTGAATCAGATTTCCCTATTAGGGCAATATTGACCCTAACCATTGAACCATTGATTTGATTCATGAGCAATTCAATTTATGACCAGAATCATGGAAAGAATTAAGTTATGAACCAAGATAACACTTATAATTCAATCCATGGTAAAAGTCATGCTTATCCTTGAAAATTCATAGTAACAAATTGGCTGTTCTGTAGGCCACCTTCTACAGAATTAGGTCTTCTGGGTACACCCTCTCTCCAGGCACCACCTGCAGCTTTGGCTGCATTTTCCTGACTCTGGCACCATTAATTATTACCTACCCATGACTCTCCATACTCCAGAAAGATGGTTATTGGGGAAAATAAGGTGTGAAAGACTCTGGGCTGAACTCAGACTATGGGTTGGAAGACACTGGGTAAGTTAATGGAGCTTTTCAGTCCCATCTATAGTTGAGACCATAAGGATAATGATACTCAGCATAAAGTTGCTGATGTGTTGTTAATCGGTCCTACTAAAGTATGGATCTTTGGAGTAGGGAAGCTGATCTTGACTGGAATATTTTAGGAGCCCCCAAAATATGTAATGACTTGAATATGGCAGCAAAAGCTAGTCAATGTTAGAAAACTGTAACTCCAAACAAGGAGAATATGAATGAGGTGCCATAGAATAGCAGGTGGAGAAAAAAGTAAAATAAAAAATGAGAAAGCAAAACGTAGTGTTAAACAAAAACTAGGAAGTCAATACTAAAGATTTTTAAGTACAAAAAATAATAAAACCAATTTCAATTCTTATTGGAATGGATAGGGAAGATAGAACTAGAAAAAAATAAAAATAAGAAAAGAAAACAGAACATTTCACTTAAAGGAGTGAAACTTGAGAAAATGCCGCTCTGAGAGGATATTAATAGCTGCAGATTTGTGACTTCTAGAATTCCAGACGCCCATTTTACCCTCAGAACACCCAGGGCAGAAGGTGATCAGAGCCGTTGTTTTAGAGTTCAAGAGGCAGTTTAGCAAAGTTACCATACGGGCAGATTCAAGGCTTGGTAGCAGACTTCATTAGTTCAACTGTATTAAACTATGTTCTAGGAAGGTAGAGGACTAAGCATATTGATAGGTTATAAATTAATTTATTCAGTATTTAACGTCTTAGGACTAAAAATTGTTATGGAGATGTACATTTGTCTTTCAGTTTATGCCTGTTCAGGTACCAAGTGATGAAGAAATAAAGAACCCCATTCTTTTTGCCAGTAGAGTCCGGAATTTAATGGCAGAGTAAGTATCTGAATGAGCTTATGACCAGTAAACACGTTGAAAACTTATTAGTAAGTGTCAGTTAATGTAGTTTTAAGGCCCATGAGGGTTTTACTTCCCAACTCATTTGAATCAGTCATGTGCCCAGAGACACAGTCAGTGAATCATTGTCTAATTATTTCTCCAACTGCAGCCCCTAACTAAAGGAGATGCATCTTTATCAGATAGGTGGACGAGGTGTGGTAATCAGAGGAGATCAGACAATGCCTTCCAGAGGTGAAATCTCACCAACCGACCAGTCCCTGTGAGACAGAGTGTGTGACAGTCACAGCAGTTCCTTATTAGACTGGCCTTCTGTCCCCTCAGCTCCATCCAGCTGCCTAAGGGAGGGTGTTTCACAGGTAGTAATGATTATAGCACTAAAATGGAGTAAGTTTGCCAAGGAGAAAAGATGAAGGGAAAAAGTTAGCCTTATGAAGGAAGTTATAAATGTAAGATTTAGAAGTAGAAAAATATAAACTTTCCTGCACATAAGGTGGTTTTTACTCACTAGTGTGATTAGATAAAGTATCCACTGTCTTGTAGTACAAGAATGTGTTATATCATTACTACCTCCCAGGCAGCCTCAGGACCCTCCAGATGTGTACCCTTTCCCCGGGCACTACCTCCCTTAGTTCCCCTCCAGGAGGAGGTTTAGAGCTAATAGGCCAGTAATAATTTTTTTCTGTTATTAAAAATTCAATAGGAATCTTGATTTTAGCTTCAGAGCTGAATTTGGTTTTGTAACCAAATTTTTTAACATATATACATATATATATATATATGATATATACATCATATATATCTCTTAATATTTCATAGTAAAACCTTATTTTAAGATGGAATGAATATTTAACCGAAATAATTTATTTTGCTACTAAGTGCTTTATCTAGTGTTTAGGTCAACAACAAAATTTGCTTTTATATTATTTTCTTCCATTTCTTTCACAAATTTTATACCATATGTTTCAAAGAATAGAAGAACTATGATAAGTATTAGAAACTGATAGAATTTCTATCAGATATTTTGTTTTCCCAAAATGCACCTAAAAATAAAAGAAGGAGTTGGGGGTGGGGTATATTGGCCTAACATGAAGAGTACAACAAAAATTGTATAAACTACATAAACTTGAACATGTTCCCTTTAAAATTTCTCCTTATGTGTGACATTGGAGTTAAAATTATTACCTTGCTTTTCTCATGACATTGATTATTAATGAGACTCAAGCAGGAAAGTATATGATGAAAGTGTTTGCCAGTGGTAAGGAAGACAGTGGTAAGGCAGATAGATGTAAGGCAGATGTGATGGTGGTACTACTGAGGGCTTCTACTCAGGAGTTACCATGTCCTGTGTAGGCCCTTCGCTAGTGTTTTCTAACATTACCCACATAGCAACTCTAAAAGGTGAGGAAATAGACTCAAGAAGGTAAACAGGCTGCCTAAAATTATACCGAGTAGTAACTGGGCTTCCACTTAGGTTCACATTTCCTGTTACCAAAGCTCAAGCTCTTAGCTATTATGCTGCACTGTTTAGTATGATAATTCCTGAAATATTTTATAGTTTTATTTTTCATCTTAAATATTATCATACTAAAATATTTACTGTTCAGAAATTGGCCACAAAAACCTATTTTAGATGAAGAAAGGTATTGTTTTAGCTGCAGTCATTCAAAATTTAATGCTCCTTACAAAGTTAGATGCAATTGAAGACAGAGTTTTGTGATTTTCATTGAATATTTGCTAATAAAACTTTAGTAAAGAATAATCTTTAGGAAATTATTTCATGTGTTGTGCAATATTTCTTCTTGATACTATTTTTTTCAGTTTTTATTAGTATCTGTTATTTCTAGATATTTCATATCATTCAGTCTCTGAGAAGTGAGCAAGAGTTATGCTGTCCTTTGAGAATAGAGGACGGTAGGTCTAGAAGAATATCAGCCTAGTGTCAGCTTGTTTCAGTACTTTTTGAAGACTGGTTAGAAGGTTGACTTCTAGTTATAAAAATGCAAAAAAAAAAGTTTGGATAGATTTTTCACTTGGAACATGTACAAATGCAATGCATTGGTTTAATCGGTACCTTTACAGTCATTGCTAGTTTGTCCTTCCAATACCATTTTGAAGTACAGTAATTATTCTGAAATACAGATGAAAACAAGGAGGCTTGGAGTCAAATACTGAAAGGTCCACATCTGGTAAAAGACCTAGTTAGAGCTTGAACCTAAGTCTTTTGAGTATTTTCCATGAAATTTTTAACTATTATTGTTGCTGTTCTTAAAGCACTAAGCAAAAATTATTACCTTCATAGACAGAAGTATGCAAGCATGAAAAGTTTTACTTGAGCTATTGCACGTCTGTGAAGAATTAGAGAAACGTCTCTTTGGCAAGAAAAGCCATAGTCACTGAACTAAAATGTAGTAAACACTTTTTTATTGACTATTGTTTGCTGATTGTCTCAGGCCTACTGAAAAATCATGACTTAAGAAAAATCAATTCAGCGTTTTGTTTTGTTTTGTTTTTTCTTAATACTTTCAGAGCACTAGGAATCCCAGTAACAGATCATACCTATGAAGACTGCAGACTGATGATCTCAGCAGGACAGCTGACGTTGCCTATGGAAGCTGGATTGGTAGAATTTACTAAAATTAGCCGGAAATTGAAGTAAGTGTACTTCAAAATTACTGCACTTTCATAAAAGTTTTCCAAAAGAGCCTGAAATCGTATTATGTTTATTTTTCCTTGCTGTATTATTGCTCAACTCTAGGACCATGTGGTGTTTATAAAGAAAGCCAGGATTGTACTTATTTAGCTTTTTGCTTTTTCCAAAACTAGTTAGCTCAAAGATATGTGCACCAGTCACAGGGTGAAAAGAAAACATAGCTGTAAACATGGACCCACATGGAGTTTTGCTGTTTGGAAATGACTCAAAAACACTCAGTCAGTCCTGTGGCCTTTTTTAAAAAAAAAAAATAACAAAAACAGAAAGGATAGCATAAGTACATAATACTGACCCAAGGTGGTCAGAGCTTCATTTGTGAAAAATTTGTATAATAGCAACTCTGATTACCACTGATCATTAAACACTTAACTAAATCAAACTTTTTTTCTTCAGATCTTTTTTTTAAGGCGAAATGTACTTTTGTGCATGAGTATGTAGTTTAAGCCATTTGGAATGTTTCCTTTGAGCTCTCTTGTACAATAGGGAAAAAACCCTCCAAATCCTGTCTTGCTATGATTCACTCTGTTGTTCAGCTCTAATTAGGAACTTCTAGTAGACTGATTTAACAGACCTTCACCTACTCCCTAGGAAGTTACTGCAGAACCAGTTACTATGATCTAAGTTCAATATTAAACAACAGAAATAATAATACTATGATAAATGATGCAAAACAGCATCATTGATACCTTCTAGGTAACAAAAATATTTTGCTTTTATTTTGGTAATATATGTAAAATATTTCCATAAATTTGAAAAGTGGAGCTAACCATTGGAATTTAAATGTATGTTAATCACTTGGTCAGTTATATAATGCAATGGCAGGCTGTGGATATAAGCTATAGTACATTTTCCAGTATTTATCACCTTAATTTTTTTTCCTAACTGATATGGAGGAAGTGTGTATAGTATGATAAACATCCCCATCACAACCTTTTTTGAACTATAAGATAATATTACCTTGAGAACAAGATTTGAATACAGGATTCATAATTTTTTTGTGATAACTCAGTAAGTATTGTTGATTAAGTCATGTTTAGGGTAAAATTTGCTCATTTTTCCCTCATAATTAATTTATTATTCTACTACACTGCTTTTTCTTATTTACTTCTGGGATAAATATTTGGGATATTTATCAGTTGTACTGAAATACTGTTAAAAACGAAATGCTTGGCATATGTATTCCACGTGTACTTTAAGTACCCACTTTATTCTTTTCAAAGTTAGCACATATTTTCTCCAACAAATTAGTGAAACAGTGTTCACAAGATGTTCATAAGCATCAGCAAGGGCTAATAACATTTATTTGTAATTTTTGCTTTAGATTAGATTGGGATGGTATTCGTAAGCATTTGGACGAATATGCGTCTATTGCCAGTGCCTCGAAGGGAGGAAGAATTGGAATTGAAGAATTTGCAGAGTATCTAAAGTTACCTGTTTCAGATGTCTTGAGACAACTTTTTGCACTCTTTGACCGGGTAGGTTAAAATTTAATCTTTAACGTTTTACTCTGCCAATCCCTACAGGATATAAAGTAACATGGCAGGCGTTCGGGAACTTGTTAGGTTAGTGTTTGAAGAATCAGGGCTGAGTTTGTGCTTTAATTGCATGACTTAATTTTCTCCTTAATATGAATAATTATATGTGTGTGAATGTGTGTATAGTAATATTTATGATAATATCTATTTCTTTTAAATACCATGTCATAAAATAAATATTGTGGTCATATACCCACGTATATACTATGGAATGGGAAAAATTTGTATATCAAAATTTGTACATTGATGATGTGAATGTTGGTGTTCTATTCTGAAGATTTCTGAACTTCCTCTAAATATATAAAGACCAAATAGACTTTTATTTTCTAATAATGTTTTTATATTTGCAATCTTTTTTTCTTTTTCTTTTTTTTTTGTTTGTTTGTTTTTTGATACCAGGAATCAAACTCAGGATCTCATGCTTGCCAGGCAGACTCTGTGCCACTGAGCTAAATCCTCAGCTCAAAAAATGTTTTATAACAAGATTTCAAATAAGTTTATTGTTACTTGTCAACATGTAAATATGCACAATTAGCTAATTGTATTGTGAGCTGAATTTTCCTTAGAAAAGATGTGTCAAGGTTTCAAGTTCTCCATTTTTTAACTTATTTTTTAATATATGAAATTGATAATAAAATAATCACATTTGGTTACAATTCTTGCAAATGCTACATTCAAGATACAATGGTTGTAAAAATAATGATATGATGATGGGTGATGAGTCCTTTGAAGCTACCCATACAGCCAAGCCCTTCGTGTACCTGTAATCCCTGCCAATCACTGGTCTGTTCTCTATCCCCACAGTTTTGCATTTTCCAGGTACCATATAAATAGGATCATGTACTGTTTTAGTCTTTTGAATGTGGTTCCTTTCACTTAGCATAATGCATTTGAGATTCAGTAATATACATATCAGTAATTTGTTTCCTTTTATTGGTGAATGGTATCCCATTATATGGATGTACTGTAGTTAATCTATTCCTCAGTGAAGGAACATTTGATTTGTGTCCAATTGGGGTCAATTATGAATATAGTTGTAAGCTAAGCAATCATGTATAGGTTTTCATATAATGTAGGTTCTAATTTCATTTTACTTGTGTAAATGCTTAGAAGTATGATCTCTGTATTTTACCTGAAGGTGACTGTATTTTACATTTATTCTGAAGGATATTCTTGTGGTGTATAGCATTCTGAGGTAACTATTCTTATAATAATTCAAAGATAACCCTTTGTCATTAGCCCTTTATGGTTTTACAATCTCACTGGTCCCTAACTTTTAACTTTGCTCAGTAATTCTCCTGCTATGGTTGCTTATTTATTTTGTTCAGAAATGTTAGTTGTAATTGAGAGAGAGAGAGAGAGAGAGAGGCTAAACTGGGCTTGTTCTATTTTATCTGATATCAGAAGTCCTGGTTCTCTATTAAGCACCAGAAAAAATCTTTTGCAAAGAAATTATAGCTCAATGACAGAGGAAAAGGCTTTTTTTCCTAGAGAACCCTAATGTTCCTTTTGTGTTATTTTGTGATTTCATAGATGAACTATTCTTTAACATAATGCTATTAAGCAACTTCTATATATAGTGCCAAAGCTTCTCTTCTGAGTTTGCTTACAGCATGTAAATAGTTTGTCCCCCTGCATAAAATGATAATGTACCAGTGTCACAGTATTGTTGTAAGGTATAATGAATAATTAAGGAAAGGGAATGTAAATTATTGTATGTAGTCATGAAAGTTGGGAAATTTGAGATTTATCTTCACCTGTATACTCACAGGTCTTTCTCTGAGATTTATATAGCAACTTTTACGATGGCTCTAGAAACCAAGCAATGAATCTTAAATAAAATCTCTCTGTTTGAAACTGGTGAAAGGAAGAAATAGAAAGACACATCAAAGATGGAGAAATGGGAAGAGATATGAAATAGAAACAAAGGAGGAAGTTTATAGCCTGTTTCAGCCGTCATGTTCAAAAGGATTTTTAATCAAAATTAAAAATAGTATCTGCTGAGGTTGCGCTTTCTTTCAGTTGTCTGTCATACGTAGCAATTATGGAAATGTTAGGACACCAGTTTTGTCTCCTAGTGACTGAGGATAGCTGCCAATAGCCTCATTGTTTCTGTAGCATTTTTAAGTATAGGAGGATTTGGGAATCGGGAAGAGAGGTGAAGCAAGGGTGAAAAGCAAGTCAATTCAGTTAACTAGATTGGCTCGCTGTGGACTAGAAGAGAGAGGATTGGCTACAGGCAGATTGGAGACTGGTCATTCGGTTAATCACATTTCCCCATGGATGGCTTCAGTAGGCTCACATATCATTTGGAACTGTTGACTTTACTTTTTTGTGTGATAAAATTTAGCTCTAGACACAAACCATAAGCTGGTGGGGGGCAGGGCTGATGCCTGCAGAGTTGAAGTGGGTAGCTTTCAGGCAGCCAAGTATGGCTTGAGCTGGTTTCCTAGATAGTCCACAAAGGTATTTCCTTGCTCCAGCGGTTGGCATCCAGTGCCTGCTGGATGAGTACTTCAGCATGGTAGAAAACTTTCCTGCTGAAAATTCTTTGTAAGCGGGAGAAGGAGTAACCAGTGTGCATGAGAGGCAGAGAACATCCAACTTTGCTAACTCAACTATGATGTGTATGTGACCACCCACACTCCCAGAAGTGTTAGAGATGAGGGAGCCATGAGACTAAGGCCTTCTGGTACCATCAGTTATTCTATCTGCGTGGATAGAGATTTGGATATTGTGCAGAGTGGATATCTCATTGTTTCTACAAAATGTGGCCATATCTTCTATACCTGGTGCCACTGAGACTCCCTGAAAAATGTTAACACTTGCCCAACTTCTAGGAAGATCAACCCCATCCTGTTTGCATATGAAGAGTTCTGAGCTTCTCGGGAGAAATGGATGAATGGATAGCTCTCTGCATGCTACCTGCCTTATTTCCTAAACTCAACAAGAAAATATTTGATATATAAACTGTTCTTTACTTTCTCACCCTACTCAGATCTTTCTGTTCTCTTCATTTTGGTGCTATGGAACTTAACCTAAAAGTGCTTCTGGCTGACTGCTCTCCTGGAGTGGCCCAGTCCTGAATTAGAAGGGGAGTCAGACACCTAGGAGCTGAGCATTTGAGGCTCTGGCCTTTCTGGAGCCCACTTGTGTTTCCCTATTGGGAGGCTCATCCAGTTCGCCTACGAGCAAGATCTTCCCAGGCATCTACCAGTCCATCAGCCTGCCTGTCATGCAGTGACTAAACCAGACCCAGCCCAGTTGGCCCAAAGATCCCATGGCAGAAGCAGCCCCTAGACACTTTTTCCCTTGAGAGTCAGAGGTGACCTGTGATTCTGCCTGCACCTTACCACTGATGTACATTGTTCTCTTCAAACTACGAGGACCTCTACAGGACAGTCCCAGTTTTCTAAGAACAAAAAGTGTGATAAAGCCCCTTCTCACCCATGTGTCAGCAGACAGGAGGCAGCACCATTGGCTCCTCCTCGGAACCTCATCAGAGCTGCTGCAGAGCAGTGCACACCTTGCCTGTCTACATGCCAGCCGTTCTCAGGAAACTGTCCTGTTCCCTGAAGTTCTCACCTGGTGTAGAATATACAGGCCAGGGGCAGGTGTTTGCCTGGTGTCCTCACTTCTCTGATTAAAAGCCACCCTGCTCTGGTAATGTGCCCTCCAGCCCTCCGGTCCTCAGTTCCCGCTGTCTGATGTCTGCCCCAGTAACTATTGGAGGTGGGAACAGCAATTTTGGCCTTATAGTTACTCACTTCCATGTCTTTGCCCAGGTCACCATCTCTGCTTCAGACATACTGGCCCACCTGTCCTGGCATTGGGGTACCCTCTCCCACCAGGTGATACTTATTTCCAAAGCTGCTCTTCAGCTGCTCCTTAGGTTTTGTTTGTCAAAGCGTTGTGGTTGTCCCTCCCAGCAGAGCCCAGCTAATAGCCTCTGCTCCACCCTCAAGTGTACAGAACTTCAGGGCCTCTCAGGGATAGAAGAGTTACCAAAGCCAACTGTGCGGGCACCAGGACTAGGGTCTGGTAGGGATGGACTATGCAGGGCCAGGTTGCCTCTCCTCCACTCCTTCCTCAAAGGGTTTCAAACCAAGGCAGTCACTGTTTATATGAAGCACCTTCATGGTGGGGAGGGTGGCTTCTGCTTTGATGACTGACTGACCTTCAGTTCCCCCTTCTAAAGGAGCAGGAACTCAGGCCAGAATTCACTTTAATGGGAACTGAAGGAGTGTCCCTCTTCTGTGTGAAGAGAAAATGGTTTATTCTTCATTCTGACTTAAAAACAAAAAACAAACAAACAAAAAAACCTCTTTGGCTTAGTTCCAACTCATTTGAATGAATAATAGTTTTTTCCACAAAGTGAGAGGCTGGAAAAATCGGACCCCTTCACTGTGGTGTGGTGAGCCTGCCCTCCATGTGGTCTTCACGGCCGCTAAGTTCTCTCTAGGTTTCACAGAGATGCTCTTATTCCATTCTGATGGTAGCCAGACTGGAAAACCAGGTGACCGTGCAGCCATCAACTCACAAATATGGTGACACCTCTTTAAAACTTCATGTTTCATTCATAAATATAACATACTTGGTTGATTATAAAATTGTATTCATCCTAAACTGAATTGGGGAAAGAATGTATTTTGTTTCTACTAGTCAGGAACTGGAAACCAGGAAAAGATCTCTGTAAAGGAAATCTCTTTCCTTCCCTCAGTGTACATAGTTTGAGACTTTCTTTGTTGTGTTTAAACTGTATCATTGGACATCAGTTTTGGACTTCCGCTAGTGTTAAAGGTGAAAATAAAACCATTAGTTTGAACAACAGCAACAAGAAACCCTCAGAAGCTAGTTTATAAAATGTTTTTCTTTTGATGTCGAACATACTAGAATATTGAGGAAATAGTCTGGAGAATTAACGATCAATGCATTTGAGC